TTGGACCAGACAGCGGCCATGTAAGTTAGTCGGGAATTGGCACCCAAGGGACCATGGCTCTCTCAACACCAGCTAATTACGGAGTCTTAAGTTTTGTACATGATACGTTTGAGAGAGAGAGAAATGGGGTTTAACGTCCACTCGGAACAAACTAGGTCATTTCGGGACCAATATATGGTTTAATTTTTTTCAATAATTCGCTTGCGCGAAGGGGTGTTTAGCAGTGGGAGGAAACTGGAGGACCCGGAGAAAACCCACGAGGTTGGACAGGCGACCCCACTCCTTGTCACGTACAACCGGGGATTCGAAACCACGACAGTTGACTCAATGGCAGGCCTTATGATACAGCACGCACGTGCTAACCATTCGGCCATCCAACCCCCCTGATACGTTTGAAGAAGGATAAAAGTAGTATAAGATGTTAAGCCAGTGTTGTCCCCAAGAACATGAATTGACAAAATACTGTAACATCTCGTATTAAAATTATTCTACACAAGCTTGTCTAGATTTATAAAAAAAAAATTCATGTAACTAATTACGTCGAATTTTAAGATAACATTTATTCTGTTACATTATTATCCGTGACAATATGATTTCTTTTTTAAAAACAAACATTATTTTAATTGAGAAAATCGGAATAGGGTTGGGGAACTGGCTTAACCTATGTAAAACCTTTCTTCCTGAATTTGAATGTTGAGGAATTCATTCCAAACGTCAGGTACAGATCTCCATGCTACTTATCAGTGTATGTATAGTGCTATACCTGCAATATCTCCTACAACAACGTATTTTATAATAGTATACTGATATATTTATTTAATTAGACATAAAAGATTATTCTGATTATAATAATAATAATTGATTTATATAGTGCCAATAATTCAACTCAGTGAGCTGCTCTCGGGCACTTTACATAAGTACAACTAATATAAAATTACAACAATCACACGATATTAATCTATAAAAAAAGACAAACAAAAACAGGAAAAATCTGACACAAACTCAGCTAGAACCGTATTCCTTTGTTTATTTTTACATCTTGTCTCATGCAAATTATTACAATGTCTGCACTTGTAAAAGACTGATTGATATTCACCCAATAAACTTGATACATCAACGAAAATTCTCGGATGATGTAAAAATTAGAACAATAGTGTTATATTTAGGTTTAGAAAATGTCTGAATGGGCATGGAAAAAGCTGAGTTAATCTTTTCATTTAATTTTATTGGTACATTAATCGAAATTGGAAATTTATTGCTTACCTGTAAAAAAAAAACCAATCAAAATAAATTACTCTAAAACAAAAGTAAGAAATATTTATTTCAGTATTTTGCGATATCACTGTGGAAGCGAGCATTAACCCCTACTGTACTACAACAAGCCAACCGTGTCCTTAAGCAATGCTGGATTAGTATGGATTAATTACATAGCCCAGCGACACTGTTAGAACCAACCCCAACAGTGATATATTTTTGAACAAAGTATACAGAGAAAACAAGAATATCAGGTTTGTGATTTGTTGTTAATGCCATGTATTTGTAATGCAAATTTAGGAGTAATATTTTTCTTTTCGGTTAAAACCCCAAGCAGCTACACTAATTTTAATTTGCCGAAGGGCGTATGGCTTTGGCGGGCAAACTGATGATCAAACAGTATATTTCCAGGTATATAAGGTAGGCTAATTCAATATTCTATCATATCCTAATATTCATAATTGTTTTTCATTATGATTAATTATTCAAATAATCATTCTTAGGATGCACCCTCGACTCCAGGCAGTCCTAAATTGCAATGTTTGTTTTGTGTTCTGTTGTTTTCTGGGCGCCATTTTGAAAAACAGACATGATATACATACACGTAGATAGTTGATAAAAAACTGATTGACTTCCATTTTTCAGATTGCAGAAGATTTTAGTAATATAATTCAGTAGTAGTGCAGTCTAATTGCTTTAAAAGTAAATTTGAATTCGGACAAGGATCTGCAATAAAATTCAGTTGAATTGCATAATAATAAAAACTTATTTCTTCAGACCAAGAACATGCCAAATTGGTTATTGCCTTGTATCACTGCAACTATAAGGTACAGACAGTCCTGAGCAAAAATAATAATAAAATATATTATAGAAGAAGTGCACGTATAGGTTTAATATGGTTCTCAGATATGTAACTATGTAAAGACGGTGGAAACACTTGCTATTGGGCTATCTTTCTCACAGTGAAGCGGGTGTGTAATCATCACAAACTTCAAATGCGCATAGCTATTTGGACAATTGGCATATAATGCCACCAAAGTGCTCATTTGGTTCAATGTGCAAATTGGTGATGCATGTAAAAGATTACACAGCACTTTCAGTTTGAAGGGGGAGTAAGCAGTAATGTATTTAGTAAATACGAAAGAAAGATATCAACCCTACATTCCCATCAAATTCTCTTATAGATATATTGGCGGAAACCCAACAGTTATTTTGTCACAATTTGTTCTTAATGTCACATACCACACCCTCTTTAAATATTGTTTGTATATAGACTGCAGTGTAATCCTAAACACTAAGTATTGTGCTTGAAAACTTATTTTTCTTTTCAAAACTACAATTAATTTTCCTGTACCTTATCTATTCTCTTTTATGTACTGTATAATTATTTTTGTTAAATGTATACTCTTTTAAAGGGAATATTTCTTTTACTATCTTCCTTGTGTTACTATCTTCTTAAAGTGCATGTATGAGCAGAACAGTGTCGTAATTCCTGGAAATCTTGATGACTCTACTCTCAATTCAAACATAATGTTTACTCTTTGGTATTTACTTTTTAACGCTTTTAATCACTGAACCAATGTCGTCTCATCCCGTTGCTTAAGATTTGTATTTAAATATTTTGTAGATATTATTCAATGAGCGCCCCTTTTATGTACAAATGTTTTATTTTATGACAAAAGAGTTCTATACCCTTTTATAACTTCTGCATATATCTTTGGTTAGTTGTTCTGTGTATGCCTTTCAACACTATAAATATGTTGTAAATTTCTCTTATATTCCCTTTCAGTTTTGAAAGTATTTCAATTTAGTGCATACATAATCTTAATAGTGCATGCTTGGTTATTATTAACGATATTTAAATTATTTCTCTCTGGGGGTTGAAGTAGGGATATTGTATATACATCTATTGTATTTCCAGTGCTTGTTTTAGGGGTACTTAAATCCCTGTCTTTGTGATTGGGATGGTGGGGGGTCATTATATAACACAAGTTTATTAATATTGGAATTAACTTTGTTTATTAACATTCCACGTGTCTATTTAGTGTTGATTTCGCAGTATTATGTTCATTTTCTTATAATTAAATTGATAAATACTAATTCAACAAACAAATTTATTATTATGTCATTTATCAAACATTACAGTTTAAACAGAACAAAAGGAAGGGAGCTGCAGGAAAGGTTGCTATACTGGAAATAAATTGAGAAAATACAACACAAATTTTTGTTTGTGGCTATATATGAAACAACGCATGTTTCATAAATTACAACACAAGTTTCATAAATTTTAACACAGGTTTGATCAATTATAACACAAGTGATGTGTAGATTTTCACACAAGTTTCAACACAAGTCTGTGTTGTTTGATAAATTTTAACACAAGTTTTGTGTTGTTTAAAAAATTAACACAAGTTTTGTGTTGTTTCAACACAAGTTTGTGTTGATAAAAAGGAACACCTAACACAAGGTTTTTTTCCGCGTACATAACGGTTTCATGTTGACACATCGATCAATTGGGAAAACCCGGAAACATACCCCCGTCCACACACCCATCCGAAAAACAAAATAAAAACCAAAACAAACGTTAATAAAAAACACAAATACCCCAAAAACAAACGAAGATCTATAAAATATAAAATGATAAAAGATATAAAAAAAGAGAACAGAATCAATTAATAGTGCGGCAATTCGCGACAAATTACAATAACAACTGTACCTGCAATATCGATTAAAGATAACTTCAGTTTACATTACAATAACTTTACCTTGAATAACTGCACCTTAAATTATTTGTTTCGACAAGCTCTGATTACAAAGTGAATTGATACAATGTACATGTACAGAAATAAAGGACTTGATAGCTTAAAGGGCAATTCCCGATTATAATTTGGTGAAAAAAACTGCTTAATTTTGTGTTAAAAACCCATAATGCTCTACCTAGAGCCGAACAACTAACTCAATATATGTGATACATTTTCAAACACCTTAAACCTAAGCTGTATTATACTGTGTCTGGATAAAACAGGCTTTTAATTTTAAAAATAAGGTGTAGGTGAAATTTACAGTTCGTTATCAAATACAGCACATGGCCACCCAACGAAAAAAATGACCCGAAATCTTAAAATGGTTAGGTGTCCGTATAAGCGGTTTTCACGTTCACGTCCAAACGACTAAATATTTTTAGCTGAAATTTTGAGACAAGGTACATACACCATTTCTCTATATTTTGGCGGTTAAATTTCATATGTACACGGAATTTCATTTTTGAGCCTCTGTTCAAATCGGTATAGTCCCTTTAACAGTTAGTTTTCCCGTTACGATGAATAGGTATTGAGTCACGCGTCAGGAGTTCCAAGCGGTATAAAGATAGCTTGATTGATACGAATCTAGTGTCCAATGAATGTAGAATTTACCTGTTCAACCCGTTTTACACGTGTATAACGTTTCGAGTTCTTGTTGTAGTGTCACAATGATGGGATCGATATAGAAACTGTTCTAGTAGTTATTTAGGTTATATTTACCCCAGTTGCCATCGTCTTCTGTATGAGACAGAGCAGGTGCCCTGTTTGAATTACCCCTGGTACCACTTCTCATTTGGACTCACATGGCAGATAATTTGTTTTTACTTTAGTTGATAGAAAACAAGTTGTATTGGTATGTTTTAATTAAACGATACGAATGTATCAATATACCTTGATATTCTGTTTGACGTCACTACAGACTTTTAACATAACATAACAACTCACCTATATACTTGAACAATCCTGTAGTTGCCTGATGAAATATTTCTTTCCCTCTTTTAATGGCGATTTCAGAAGCAAATTGTCTTCCGTGTTTGGTTTATGCAAGGCAGATTATTCTATTTGAATGCTCGTGCACCCAGACTAGCAATTGTGTTCCCATTGACGTAAATCTGTTTTAAGAAATGAAAATGAAAATTAAATAGGGCTTAAAGTCGTAATGTTATGTTCTGGCTGGGTTAATGAAGACGATAATACGTCATACAGTGTGCTATGGGGTCATGTTACCCAGGTAGCGACACTATGGCCTACCGTTATTTCGATGATCTTATTCGTTATAAACACAAAGACCGCAACATAACAATCATTTAATCTATAGGCTGTTTACTTACTGATCCTTCCACATCTAAATCTCGAATATCCATCAAATCCTGACAGAAAAAGTAAATTCAAACACTCTTCTGTTGTATTTCAACTTAAGTTACTACGTAGATCGGAGAATATAATAACATATTGGTAAAGTATATGATTATTGTATTATTGTTATCCATGTAACATAATATCATATGCGTATAGTATATATTCAATTAAATACGTGAATATCTGCGTCATGCCCAACTAATTTAACACAAGTATAGGCCTATACAAGTCAAGAGGGTATTTTATTACATAATATATATTATAATTATGGTCCTTGTCAAACCAACAGTTAAAGGACAATGTTGGTGTCAGCCATTATTAAATATTTGATAGAACTGGTTAAACACGTTCCAAATATAATTTTAACACAGCGATCATTGCTACCATAGATGGGTAACGAAGATTTGAAGAAACGGAAGTGAAGAAAGCAGACGGAAAACACGAGTTATCCTTCTGACTGAAGTAACGAGTGATAACATGGGGGAATTTCTGCCGACTGATGATTCGGTTGAAGAGGAAAGATTGTTATATGAGACTGTGAGGATATCTGACATGAGAGTCGTTTAATCTGGGGTCTTCCCTGAAACTTTGGACAGTGATTTAAAGTATTAAAAACGGTGGAAAGTATGTTCGACTCCAAACAGTATTGTTTACATTGTATCCGTTTTGATAGCCTCGTTTGTCACGCAATCAGTTTTTCTACAATATTCTGCTATGCGCTGGTTAATTGGGCGTAAATTTCGTGAGTCATGGCATAACGTTATGTAAACATATTTGGTCCAATTTGGAGCTCTGTTTAAAGCCTAATGAAATTGTTACGAAGTTAGCTATTGGTTGTTAATCGACCAGTCATAATTTGGAACAGATACTTGCTTCCATTACAGCAGTGTTAAATAGGATTAGGTCTAATAAAACGAAACACTGCGAGTATGATTCACTCTATACTTAATAAAAACATGGTAATGTACGGACTTTTTCTATTTGTTTCGTTTTCTCTTATTAGTGACAGTTAATTCATTTTATAAATTGTCAAATATCCTCTCACAGTCTCATATAACAACTTCTGGTCTTCGAAGGAATTATTAGTGAACAGAAATTCGCGCGTGTATCTGTTATCGCTCGTTACTTCTGTGATGATCCGAAATTTCTGTTCTACGACTGTCTGTTGCAAGAAATCCCCGGCTCTAAAATTCCTAACCATTTCTTCAGCTTTTGAATTAAACGGCCAAAACTTGGTGACATACCTGAAATGTCACTCGTTGCTTTTGTCGTCGAGCCTTAACGCCTAGAAGTTCGATAAAATTCACTATTCCCTTGTAAATTTCACATTTTTTGACATTGTTTTATTCTCAGAACGTAAACATTACGAGTGCGTCTGCGTAAAATGGGAAACCAGCATTTCGCGTAAAGGGTAAACCGGAATCTCCAAATCGGGTACATTCGATTAAAAATGTTTAGTGAAATAAAATTCTCCGGTTTGTTTTGCGGTAGTAATACTTATTAGCGTTTGACTTGTTGGTCGGATTAATATTATGTTGTGTTTCAACTTGCTTATTTCGTAGAAATTCTCATTTACCCGTTTGGTTTTGGAGAGCGTGGTCTGGAAATGTGAATTTGTATAAACCGTTTATTAATTTTCCAAAGTATATAGGTTCTGATCAGCTGTAAATAAATATTACAAAATATTTATCGAGTTATCTCCCTTTGGCGATACAGTTTTTAGCGTATAAAATAATTATTCGATTGAGACAGAATCAACGGCATAATATACACGATGACGATAGGTATAAACATTATTAATACCTGATATTATTTTATCTCAATTTAGCTGATATATATCTGGATAGCTCTCGTAAATAAGCTGAGCAAATCGGGAATCGATTGTCGTACCCCGTTTTCCCGCAATTGTTATTTAACTTTTTCATATTTTAATATTTGTATTCTAAACATTTATATATACACGTAACGAAAATCCGTGTATCATTTTGAATTTTTGCCATTTCCAAGACTGACTAGCGGTACCATACCATAGAGCACGGTCGGGTTAATTCAAAGATGACTGATAAGACTGATACGTGAGTAGATTTGTATGAAAACTATTAACATATTGCCGATTGCCATTTCACCATGGACCGTCCATTTTATAGGGCCAGGTTAAATAAGCTAAATCGGTAATATGTGTGACCTAGAAATGGAAACAAATGGGTAGCAACGCATATAAAAATAATAGACCGCAAAATTTTGCTATTGAAAAGTTTGGTCTGGTTTTGTGCCCCCAGCACTGAGCCTCCAGACTATAATGTAATAGGAATGTATATAAACTGGATTACATTCATTCGTCTTTTATTTTACTATAATTTCTAATCAGTTATGTTTGGCGAAATGCGCCAGAAGTCTCAATCGAATGGCAATCTCTAGGGCAGTGGTTCTCAACTTTTTTTTGCCAACGGCACACCTTAGAACCAATGAAAATATAGCGGCACACCGGGCCAAATATATATGAAAACATATTTGAATTTTTCAAAATTAAAACATGGTAAGTCAGACGACATACAACTGTAGACAGAGATTAGTCATAGACACATAGAAAGTCTCAAACTAAATAGCGAAAAATAAACCCCACAGCTATGAACATCAGTGAATACTCAATTGGGAACACACGGTTTTTCGCATTTTCTTAGTGTGCTGTTCAAAATTTCGCGGCACACTTTGGAAGATCTCACGGCACACCTGTGTGCCACGGCACACTGGTTGAGAATCACTGCTCTAGGGCCTTGTTATTCCAGTCTACTCCGATAGTATTTATTAAGCATGCTCTCCAGGTAAGATTATAGCGTCACCTTTTGACATGACTTGTGAAAATATGTCTAGCCTCGTTCGTCTAGTCTCTTATTACAATGTTTATTTTGTCTTAAATATTGGATATCAGAAGCTAAACTTTTCCCGGTAAGATCACAACATCAGTGTTGATTTAAATTGACAACTCATTCGTGTTTCAATGTAGAAGACTTTGGATGATATTTTAACACCAAATAGGTAGTGAATGAGAGTTGGGGTATGAATGAGAACAACTTTGATTTTTTTCGTATTTTCTTGATAAATTTGACAGATTGTAGTAATATGGATGGCAGGAATTTGTGTTAAAAAACACATGTAGAATAATATTATGGTTTTGATTAATTATTCTCCATTGCCAAAATATTAGCTATGGTATAGGTTTATTTTGAAACGCAAATTAAATTGTTTATGAAATATTGTGAAAATAACAGGACATGGGGGCTAAAGATTAGGAATAGAGAAGAAATATGATGGCTGAAACAATATCGTTATCTTTAAAAATTATTGATTCTAAGTTCATAACCCAAAATATAGAAAGTATGCTGGTTATATAGATACGGTAACGCAGCCATAGTTTACTAAACAAGTCGGTCATTTGCATTTTTCAAGGATAAATTAGTATTGTTTGAAATACACGTGAGTGGAAAATTACTAATTAGCCCACACCATTCGGCACCTATAAGAGAGAGCGGGACTAGAATAGTTTTTTTTAGATTCGAATTGGATTCTTTAAAGATCAGACACGCATTGGGTTTTTTAAACGACCATTTTACGATGTAGTGGTTTCCTGAGTCTAGCCACGCTGGTTAGACTTTTACAGGAGTGGGGTTGAGAGAAAGAGATGTTAATTTTAAATATTGTAAGGCAGACTACTGTGTTACTGTTGTGACATTAAAAACACTATCGTTGTTCCTGTTACTTATTTGATTTCGGAATCGTAAGAAAAAGCAACGGTGAAGTCCTACAAGAAGAAAGATGCAACAGTAGCCAGGCCAGAGCCAAGCAACACCTAGACGATCAAGGGCTGTTCGTAAATATGTAGTACGAAACGATGCATGGGTTATACGTCGGATGTAGCAACCGGGTTTAGCGTCGACCTCTCTCCACGTCTGACAGACGACCCATGGTGTTACATATTTGATTTGGTAGCCGTAAGAGGATTCGACCTGGGTAAATACATTTTTTCAAAAAATTGAACATGTTTAAATTTGTTTAACAGACCAAATAATGCGCAGTAAAATTTTAATTATTAAATAAGGGTTATAACTTTATGCGTAGGAATATGATATATAATGAAGCGTGACCTGCAGGTTAATATAATTTCTGTAATATGATTACCTGTAGGAATGTCATATTGGAGTTATCTTAACTTAAAGTGGGCCTATAGGGAGTAGGTTACTAAATTTTAAGGGAAACGGAATAGGAATTAAAATAAAGAATTAATGGTGTCTCCGTATCAGAGAGAGAGAGAGATGGGGTTAAACGTCCACTCGACACAAACTAGGTCATTTCGGGACTAACATATGGTTCAAGTTTATTTCATTAATTCACTTGTGCGTAGGGGTCTTTAGCAGTGGGATTGGAAACCAGAGGACCCGGAGAAACCCCACGAGGTTGGACAGGCGACCCTACTCCTTGTCACGTACAACCGGGGAATCGAAACCCCGCCAGTTGACCCAATGACAGACCGCATGATACAGCGCGCACATGCTAACCATTCGGCCATCCAACCCCCCGTATCAGAGTAGAAAGACGGCAGAGTGGATGATAGAGTTGGCTGTGTTTCTGCTTTGATTCGTTAACATCTCTGTGTGTCTTGTTCATTATAATATGTATTTGGCTAATTAATTATAACTAAGATGATTTTGAGACCCTAGTCTAAGTCCAAAATCATGATGGTAGCCAGGTACGGCGA